GTGTGTAAAACACACTTATCAATCTTGTCTAGAAAGTAATTTTTCTTCGTGCATATCAATTTTGTGCTCAAGCAGAGAATCCCAGAACCATCTGTTAATTTCTATTTAAGGATTTTCCATTTATGTTAACTTCTAGAGAAGATTAAAGATTTGTTCTTTAATAGGATATGAATAAACAAAACATATTTATTTGTGATTAGTTATGAAATTCTGAACCCTCCATGAACATTAGCACATTTACTTTTATCCATGTAATTAATCAATTAGATGCAAGTGTCCTCCTACAATTTATTTAGGCATCTAGGATGTTTAGGAAAAGCAACTTCAATCTGAAGAAGTATCAGTTTCGTAGTTTTCGATGGACCTAATTTTATTTCATCATGTATTAGTGCAAGGATCCCTACGAACTGGACTATTGCTATGAGCAAGATGAAGATATTAACCTGATATATACAAGAGAAATATAACCTATGATTTTAGAGGTCTTGGATGGTTGAAATGCATAAGTCATTGCTCTTGGGGCAAGAGGAAGCGGGAAAACTTACACAATCCAGGTGTTTTTAAAACCTCATTTTCAGTGATTTTTTTCTTTTATAACTCGAGGAAACGTTGTATCTTATTTTATTGTTTGATTCATTGAAAGGCTCTCAAGAAAAACCAGGTTTACTAGTAATGGCAATGTCTGAAATTCTTTCAAAAGCAATGGATTTTGGGAAGTCAGTTTCTGTATCTCTCTATGAGATGATAGAAGACCATGCTTATGATCTTTTGGATCCTAAACATATCGAGGTTCAAATACTGGAAGGTCCTCAGGGCAAAATCCATCTTAAAGGACTTTCTCAGGCAAGCAAATATGATTCTCAGATAAAAACAAAGTTTTCTACTGTAGAGGATTTAGCGTGTAGTTTTGATATTATATCTACTTATGGTGCTTTCTTATTGTTGTTCTCTTCTAGATCTCTGTGAAATCTATTCAAGAATTCCACAATATATACTTTAGTCGGGGTAGTTTTCAAAAGTCTGCAAAAAAAACCAACAGAGCAAACACGCAACCACAAGGGCTTGATGATACACGTATCATCAAAAGATGACAATCTGAAAACCAAGTTAAGATTGTATAATTGTATTCATACTTCTGAAGGCTTGACTTTGTGATTACTGTTTTCATGTATCAGGCTATAAAGATCCTAGAAGAAATATTAAAGATGGAACCATATTTACTGAGAGTAACAGGACTAATAAGTCACTATATACCATGTTGAATGTAGTCTATGCCCTTAACACCGATGAGAAACATCTGCCATATCGGGAAAGCAAACTAACTCGAATATTGCAAGAATCCCTTGGAGGAAAAAGTCCATGTTTTGATGCTTACATGCTTGGTACGGATTTTATACTTTAGGAGCTGTATACATATTATTTGTTCCTACATTGTGAACTTACTTTTAACTTCGATATGGCTTTTTAATTCATTTCATCCCTATTGAATACAGAATCCTTCCTTTTGCCAAGACTCTGTTTGCTCATTAAGTTTAGTTTCTCTATCACGCCGAAATGCCAAGCAAGTGTTGATAGAATCCACAAACAGAAGTCGAAGTTCAGCAGCCAAAGTGAACGCTCCTTCATCAATAAAAAGTGGGAAGACGCCGTCTACGTCCTCGATCATGTAAAAACAGATTGCTTCAAGTGTGCTCCTGTCGAAAAAGAAGGATAGCAGCATCTTGAGAGGAAGGTAAAACTACTTTCATCTGATATTGGAATCAAAGTTATGAAGTGTTCAATGTAACATTTTACTAAACTCTCTCTCTTTTACTCCACTGAAGGAAACTCTTTGATGAAGAAAAATCAAACAATTCTAGGCAGGTATTTTGTGTTAATTTCTGCAATCCATCGAGTAATCAAGTTCTCATTTCTTTCTTTTTCCTTTGCTTTTGTCTTCCCTACATGTAGATATCACGGTAATAATTTTTAGACATGTCAAGCATTAAGCACGAAAAACTGTTACTATGTTGTTAACTTTTTTTATTTTGAAGTTTGTTTATTTTTTAAAGTACTCAATTTCCTTCCGCCTTTGAGGAGGGAAAGTGAATGCATCGTGTACCACTGGTATTCATGTTTATTAGTTCGAGCCAAACATGTGCCTAGGCCACATTGGTATTGTTTGGCTTGGTTAAAAGACAAAAAAAAGGACTGCTACCTAGCGCTAATTCCATTTAGCTGTAAGCTCATCTAGACTTCAAATATAATGCAGTTGAGATCCCTACCTAAAGACACATCAGCCAGGAAAACTAAGCTTATCCCACTTATTGCTTCTGATGTTACACCCTTTTCCTTGGAACAGGTATTTCGACTCTCAAAAAATTCTCGTGGCATGTTTCTGCATGTTTCTAATTTCTATTCTATTTTCAGTTACTCTTGGATGCAGTTCAACGAAACGTACTTCTTGAACAATTGAAAGTAATCTATTTTTCAATTTCCTTACTCCTACAGTTGCATGTCTTTTCTATTTTTGACAGTTTTCTCTACATCCTAATCGTCCGTACAAAGATCATTTGACTGTTCTTGCTGGTTCTGAATCCCATTTGGGAAAGTGCGGGTGTAGTTTTGTTCATGACCCAATGGATTGAGAAAATTAGAGAACATTTAAATTTGTATTTGCAACTCTTTATTTTAGAACTAGACTAGATACTATAAATTTTTTTTGTATCTCAAATTTTCCTTTTAATTCTTTTTGCAATTCTAATTTGTTTTCATTCAAGTCCCCAGAATGTTGAATCCAATGGATATTTATCATTTCGAATTCAATTCTTTGATGCGTCATACTTGCTATTGTTGGTTTGAGATGTGTAAGTTCAAAATACGAAATTGAATGTTGCCTAGCAAGACTAGAACGAAGACGGTATAATGGATGTTGCTTAGATTAAGCAACTTTTAAGCTAAATAAGAGCAGAATGTCCTGGAAGAGTAGAGGAGTGGAGTCAACTTCGATGAATGTTGTTCCAAGAAAATTCACTATGTTCCTCTATATTGGATGCTTCTGTGTTGGGATGCTCTTCACTGACAGGTTTGATTTCTTCATTTTCCTTTCAATTTCTTGCTCAATTAGTTCATTTTTGATCATCTGGCCATTGGAATTCTTAGTGAATTTAATCGACTTTAATTTAATGTAGGTTCTTCATATAGGTCCGTTGTTTGATAATTGGCTCTTATGATGTTTTGCGATGGTAAAATTATCTAATTGGTTATTCAAAGAAATGCTGATGTTCAATGTATTGGATTAGCTTATGGCTTATAATTCAAATGATAAATTCATAGGTTTGCTTATGCTAGAAAATTAGTGTATAATTAGGCCTA